CACATGATGGTGGGAGGGAGAGATCTATATATATTAGGAAAAAAAATACTTGTATATCATGGGGATATCATTGTTGTGCTATTTTCAATCAATCACGTTCCATCACGTGAAATAAAAATTTCACATGATAAAAGATGATCGGATAAAATGTTATTCTCGTAACATGCAAGTTCTTCTCATATATTAAAGCCACGTAATACGCCCAAGGGCAAAAATACCAAATGCATATGTTATATATAAGAACCCCAAATTTTCTGAACTCAGGATTTTGGTGAACGGGCCCCAAGCCCTGGTTGGTACTACTAAGGGCACTTCCAACAACACGGGCTTGGGGGGGAGGGAGGGGGGCGCGGGGTTTGGACCAAAAAACAGTTTCCAACAACAAGGGCTGGCTAGGGCATCTGCTGGGGCCCACGAAACCAGGGCAACCCTCATGCAAGATGAGCCCGAGTTCAAGGCAGGGTTGCTGACATCAGCAACAAATTTTTTATAAAAAAAAATCTAAAAAAAATTTCAGATTTATAAAAAAATAAATACTTAGTCATAGTTGTCACTTCCCACACCAAAATTCTATACAAATTTCTCTCCTCATATCTCATGTGAATAGTTATTGCCATGGCAATGAGTGGAAACACCACAACCTTTTGAAAGGGCAGCCACTATTTATGTGAATAGTAGCTGCTTTAGCCCCCCCTTACCATAGCAAATGGCAGATTGCTGGAAGTGCTCTAATAATGGGTAGTACTTGTTTTTAATTGTAGGGTACATTTTTAAGTTTAAATTTTTAACAGAGATGATCCATCATCCATCCATCCATCCATAGATATAGTTGGAGAGAGGGAGAGAGAGGTTACAATCACATGGCAGTAAAGGTGGAAAGAGACAACCCAACATCACCATCATAAACATCGTCATAGCCCTCATCATTCTTATGTTGAAAACTCAAAACACAGAGATATCTCCACACCACATCTTCCCTAACCTACTAGTACTACAACTAAACAATAAGGCTCTCTCTTCCTTTCGTCCTTTTTTTTAATGGTTTTGGCTATCTCTTTTTTGGTCGAAAAGAAACTACAGCGGTGCTCTGCTCTGCTCTGCTCTCTCTCTCTGTCTCTCTCTCTCTTCCCCTCACGTGACAAGACAACTACAGTGGGCGTCTATTATTGATCATTGATAAAAACGAAAACCCCACCCGTAAAGTCTAATAAGAATGGGACAGTCCTTTTTTTCTCACAAAAAGGCAAAAATAAAAGAAAAGAAAAGAATGGGCAATCCTTTCCTTTTAGCATATATAAATAAAGTAGAAGATTCATATACCATATCCAACAATATTTAATAATAATAAAAAAAACTACGAAGCATTACAATTACATGAGGCGACGCTAACACAATTATATGTAAGAATAGAATAGAATAGAATAGAACCCCAATAGCTCACAATCATGAAAAAGGTTTGGATTCCATGCATCGAGCTCTGCAATCTTGTAGTAGGTCTCTTTTGGCCCTGCATGCCTGCCTCCTCCCTTACTTCCTTTTTAAACTCAACGACTAGTCAACCACATTTCAAATTCAAAGAAACAAGTGCTACGTACATCAATTTAATTCACCATTATTTGACATTTGCTAAATGATTCTTAGTTTACTGCCGCGGTAATTAATTACAAACACAATTATTAACATATTAGTACTTTTGTTACTTTATATTATCGGTTAAAGTTAGAAATATGTAACTAATTTTTAATTTAAATATTTATTAGAGAATCTCCTTACCATTAGACCTCTACGTCTACGTACTAATACATACTAGGATGCAAAATAGAAAAGATAATTTGTCCCCACCATCTCATTGCCACCATCCTAAATACGCTTTTTCAAAAAGGGAACAAAAGAAGAGAGTGAACAAGTATGAACATAAAAGTTGAAACTTAAGTTGCACAGAGTAGAGGGAACAAAGCGTATGAACTTTTTTAAAGGCTTGGATTCATTTAGGCATTAAACTAGTTACTAATTCGTTCCTTTATTTCTCACGTCCAAGTCCAACACCTGTAATTCACAGCCTAAGGCTAAGGTTGTTTGCGTGAAGCCATTATTATTCATCCTAGTCGTGTAACATTGTATACGTGCATGCTGTAATCTTGTATATAATCTTGTATATACGTCCATACTGCTGCGTATGGATATGTCATATACTTAAAGATACTGCTGCGCCTTTCAATTACCCTGTTCTTGGTCCAGCTTCTACCATAATTAAACCCAACCCTCAACCTTCAAATGTTATAGCTGCTGAGAATTAAGTCTGGATTGGAATGGACTGGACTGGACTATATATGTATACGTATAGCTACACACATATATAGCATTGGGGAAGGACTTTAATTTGCCACAACCAGACCAATTATAAGGCCATCTCCTTTAATTCATGCACCCTCTACTGGTTCTGGTTGGTAGTTGATCTACAATATTAATTAATATTCCTAACTCCAGTTTTAACTTCAATTCAGTTCAATTATTTCGGGTTTTAGATGTATTATTATTTATATTAGAATTATTTTCTGATTTGAATAATTAACTTCTTCTTCTTCTGTTATTATTATTATCTGTTCTGGTAATACTTTTTATGTTAACGACCCTTCAGTCTTCAAACGCACACACGGGGAGATTAGATAGAGAGGAGAGAAAGAGGGTGAAGGTGCATTGAAACCCTAGCGAGGTAGGTTTCACTAAATTAAAGCCGTTGGGAGGGGAAAATTAATGACAGATAGTTTAGTCTTCTCCAGATGATCCAATAAATTAATTTTTTTTAAAGACAGTGGCTGGCAATTTGGAAAATTGGTGGAAAACCAAGTTTTCTTTGTCCCAATGATTCAATCATGGCGATGTCTGACAGAAACTCAGCAAGACAACTGGTATGTTAGGCAGAGACTAATGGGACACAGACAGGTCAGATGGGAACAATGTCAATTTTCAGTCCATAAACATAAATTCTAATTTCTCCTCTGTGTAGTTCCTGTGAGTGAGCTTTTCAAACTGTGAAAAATTTATTGGGTATGGACCGTAAGGTTGGAGGGTAGATTCGAGTCAATAAATACAAGGGGTTGGGTTGGGTTGGATTCGTCTAATAAATCATAAATGCATGCGCGTTTCCTTTATTTTTATTTTTATTTACTCTATAAGAAAGGAAGGAAGCTTTCTGGAAGTTCGTTCTTATATATAAATAACATAAACATAAATATGGCTGGGAATTGAAGGAGATGATGGCCTGCCTGGCTGGGGAGAGGGTGAGAGGGGAGGGGAGTGATTCTGATGAGCATATGGGTTGTGGGAGTCATGAGTGCGACGTATCAATCCACAAAGAGGAGGATTTGTTGTCTGAAATCTCTCTCTCAGACTCGATACTATACATTTTATAAATAAAATAATTAAATGAAAGAGAGAAAAAAGAAGAAGAAAAAGAAAAGCACATGACATGCATGATGATGCATACACAAACGTTGCAGAATGGAAGTCATGGAAAGGGAAATTAAAGAAGCGGAGCAAGATAAATCAATAAAAAGTTTTCCGTGGTGTAATAATGGGAGAGGATTGACCTAAGTTTTACCTTTGTTTTAGTCTCTCCCTCGCACGCATTGTTTCTTAATTATAAAGAAATACTTTGCTTGCTTCAAACTTGTAATGTGTTATAGGCTTATAGCCTTATAGGTCAAAATCAATATTTTTGTAGAGGAACCAATTACCAAACCAACGGATATGGGGTACCTAGGATTCCACACTTAGTGCTTTAGTAGGGCCCTCGCTTCTCCTTTAAGCTTTAGTTCAACTCAATACTTAATTAGAGCTCAATTAGTCGTATATATTAATTAAACCAAAGGAAAATTATTATTATTTTTCAATTTTTTTCAAACAAGTAATAGTCTAAACTAGAGGAAAGAGGAATTTATCACACAAACACAACTATGATGCTGTGGAGACTCGAACCTAAAACCTCAAGTCTATAAGTCAATATTCTTTTTCGCTGAACTAAACTCTATTGACAAGAAAATTACTATTTTATAGAAGGATAAGAACTCATTATGTTTTTAGTCATGCTGAGTAGAAGACTCATGACGTCTTCCATGTATTTTTTTTCATGAGTTTTCATTTATATTGACCTAACCTAAAATATGACTTCACTTTATTTAAACTACCGTCAATATTTGCGTTTGATTTTATTGGCAACAACTTTAGGGTTTATTATAGCATCATTAATTCATTTAATGGGCAAATACGAAATAAAAATAATTTACGAAATTTAGTAAGCTCTCCACTCCTCTACTCTAGCTGGCCTGGTACTGGGATTTGAAGCTTTGCATCTCCGGTGGTGTATCCCCCTATCCCCCACCCCACCCACAAAATTTAACAGATCGATCTTATCCTTAAAGATAAACGTGCTAGCTGTTCGTTCATCTCATTGATTTTATTGCTTGCTGTTGTGTTGTTGCAGTGGATTTTCAATTTTTCATGATGTGATGAGTCTCATTGACATGAGGAGAGTACTTGGCTCGTAGCGGTGATAAATGCATAACTAGCTCTTCATAAATTTGGACACTCATCATAATCAACCGCTTCGTTCCTGCAATATATCTAAATTCAAACCTATGTGATATGTAATTATATGCCTTCAAATACCAAATATATATGTTTTTTTTTTTAAATTATTTTATTTTATCGATATGAAATTTGAATTTAACGCACTGCTCTAACCAATTAGTTTAACTTACGTATAATCTAAGCTTTAAATATCAAATATTTAAACGGTCCAGATAACCCCCGTCCCAATACTCATCTATCTGTCAAAAGTGTAACGGAAGATTTACCCACAGCACAAATTAAAAATACTTTGTTTCCTTGTTTTAACGTGAAACTGATTTTCCTTTTTGATGAAGGCGTTGGGCATCAGAAACGAGGGAGGGATGGGATGGGGGTGAAAAAGGGGATTTGGTGAGGAAGGAGTGAAGAGGTGGAGGGGGTTTCATCAGAAACGAGGGGGGAGATTGGGAAAAGGGAAGAATAACTATGATGATTCTTCCTTTGGTTGATCCTTCTAAAATATGCCCCCTGTAGCCTTCCTCTAGGAATGAACCATCCAATCTGATGATTTTTTTTCTCTCTGCTGTCTTTTCTTTTCCTTTCTCTCTCTCTCTCGACTGAAACCAAACCACTACCTTTCACTCTCAACTCAATTAATTACACCCACAACCCCCCATCTCATTTATTGCGAGTCGCTCGTCACGCTTAAATAGAACCCATCTGCCCTTTCAACCTAATCCTCCTCCTCCTCCTCCTCCTTCATAAGCCTGGTCCGTATATATGTATGTTATCACTGTCCATCTCTTTCCCCAGCTGAGCTCCAACATAAGGGAGGGAGAAGGGTCGTGAATAATGCAAACAACAGTGCACAGGCTTTGATGAGATCATGTGGGTTTAGCAAAGCGTTTCTTACAGAGTTTATTGGCATTCTGTCCACCTCCTCTCTTTGTTCACTCTGTGTGTATTAGAAGATAGTACGTGTGGAGGTGGGCATACTGCCAACTGAGCTCTGTTGGCTTCTCTTTGTAAAACCCTCGTGACTGACGATGATATCTCCCAGCGCTACATACACTTGCTGATTGTTAAAATCTTGGTAAGAATCATCTCTCTTTTTTCCAGATCATGTGCACCGTCGGCAGTTTCTGGTACTACTCCTCGTCATATGCTTATCTAAGTGATTGATCGCCGTTAAAAGCTTTTCTGTTCTTTATGCTTCTTCTCTTTCCCTAAAAACATAACGAGAGATGATGACTTGTTTTGTGATTGTGCAGTGTTGTAATTAATTGTCTGTTAATAAGGAGGAGGATGAGCTTTCCTGAGCAACACAAAGCATCATTAATTATCTCCATCCGTAACTCTTTAAATTTCTTCTGTTTGATCATCTTCATCTAGACGAGATGGTTTTTAATTAATTAGTACTGCGACTGCTGATTATTGGGATGTAGGGGAGCCCTAGATTGGGTTTGTGATTTGCTTATAGATCCGTTCTTCCTAAATCCTTTATTTTTATTTTTGATGTAGTTAGGGTTGTTCTGATTTTATCATCTATAGCTTTTCATTGTTTCCTTTGAATATAATCAATCTTGGGTGCCCAAGTTCTAAGTCTTGTATCATAAAGATTGTGCACACAGGAAGAAGCTAGCAAAGAAGAGCTGCTCTAAACACATCATTTGATTTAAGGTGGGTCAAATACTCAAAAAGGGAATTAGAATGGTTAGACGCAGAGCTGACTAAAATGATGGCTAACTCCATCTCCATTTTCAAGTTTGAACATCCTTCTCTTCTCTTCTGCAACATTAATCTTATCCCTTGATTCTCTTCATTTGTTGTGTAAAAATGCTGATTATGAGAGTTAATCTTATCCATTACAGTGATCATGGCATGCATGCCGCCTCCTCCTCCACTCCACACCATTGTGTTTGTTTAATGTCAGTAATTTAAGTTTTAATTATGGTTTGGTGGGCCAAACGTCTTTTAATTATGCGATGAGAGGAGCAGGCCAGTCAGCCCTACCAGTGTCCTGTCCAGCATCACTTGAGAGAAGAGAAGGGATACGTTTCTTCTACGCTCTCTCCATTCTCCTCCTTGATCTTGTAGCCATTTACGTAGCCACGTAGGATTATGATCGAATGACTGACGACATTAATGCCAATAAATATATACAATATATGCACAAGCATTACCCACCCACACCCTTACCCTTATGTGGCGCGTAAAAGGACCACCTCTCTAATTAATTTTGATTGTTGAATTTACATTACAGGATGCAGAATTTCAAATGTCATTACGTATGTATGCACTTGAAGACTAGTGTTTTGCTTTTGTGAGGGACGGGCACTCTGAAAGTTAGCGCTTGGAGCGGGGTCGCTTTCCGCAGTGTGGTGGGGCGGTGACCACGATGCTTTGCTGGGTGGCAAGATCCCTCACTCAACTCATTCACAGGTTACACGACGACGGGATTCAATCAGTCAATATTCCTTGATTTTATTCAAAACGCTAATCTCTCTTATCTTTGACCTTTATATATATTCAACGCTAACATAATTGACGCTAGTACATGCACACGAATTATCATGTGAATTCAGTCAAAACTGGCAGAGATTGATGAAAGCACGTTTAATCCCTGCATATGTAATGTTCAAGGAAAGTATTCGAAGAAGAAAAACCCACGCTTAACAATAAAGGTTTTCTTTTTGGGGGGGCGGGGGGGGTGAATCAGTTAAGCATAAAAGTTTGAAAGGAGAAAACAAAATTTAAACTAATAAATGAAGTGTCCCCATGAATGAACCTGCATTCGCACGAGATCTAGACGTGATACTTTCCCACACATAACAAGGACGATCATTTGGTTTCGGGGCAATATCGTATAGAAGAGTACGGCATGCTATGATTTGCTATGCACTGCTCTATATGCTAGTGAGAGAAGGGATATAGCAGTTTGTCAAGGGTTCACTCACTAATCTCTCTTATAATGACCGATTTGTTGATCGTTATTTTTCAATTAATATTACTCAAGCAGCGACAGCTCATTCACTCCCTAATCTCTCTTATGATGATTATTTTGGAGTTCTAACTTCTCACAACAATTCCTCTCTTTTTCCGAATCGAATAACAATTCCTTCACTTAATATAAAAATTGTTTTGTACATTTAAAGTGGTAAGTTTAAATTCTATGACTTTGAGCTAAAATGTTATTAGACAATTAATGTACCATTTCCCCACTTTAAACTTCATTTTTTACTTGTTTTATTTTGTTTTTGACATGACCAAATCAAAATTGAATTTATGCACATAGGGTGGCACCACAATGGAAAAGTGGGCTAAATTCTCTCCCTCCCCGCCTTAAGTGCATCAGGCTTCAATTCATGTAAGACAATCTTGAGGCAACCTCATACAATACTCCCCCCCCCCTCCTCCACATCCCTAACATATGACCAAAAAAATTGAAAAGAGCCCTAGTAATTTAAACTAATTCTTAATTTGTTGGCTTAATATCACAAAACGTCCCTAAGGTTTACGAAACTATCAAATTGTATCTGTTTTGTTATTTTGTGTCATTCGTGGTCCTCAAGATTAGTATGTGTGCTCACAAATGGTCTCTGCTGTCAGGATCCGTAAAAAACTCTGTTAGTTTGTTGACGTGGAATATATATATCACAAAACATCCCTCAGGTACACGCACCTATCACAAATGGTCCCTGCGAATTTTTTTTATTTTTTGATTTAAAATTTTGGTTTTCCTTTTTAAATTTTATGACTTAAATTTTTAAAAAATATATATTGTATTTAAATACACGTGACACTATATTATTAGATATATTGGCTCCACATATATGCTACATCAACAAACTAATGGAGTTTTTAAAAAATAATTTAAAATTCATAAAATTTTAAAAAGAAAAAACCAACATTTTATGAATTTTTTTTAAAAATATTGTATTTTAAATACACATGCCCCTATATAATTGGAGATGTGGGCTCCACATATATGTCACATGAGCAAAGTAAGGGAGTTTTTTAAATTTAGAAATGAAAAACCAAAATTTTATGCACCAAGGTTTTTTCATTTTTAAATTTTATGAAGGCTTTATATCAATATATATTTTTAAAGAATTTAAAATTCATACAATTTTAAAAAGAAAACCAAAATGTTATGTATTTTAAATGAAAAAATCAAAAAATTTCGTTGGCCCATTTATGATAGGTGTGTAAACCTCAAGGATGTTTTGTAATATATATATGTGCCATGTCAGCAAACTAATTGAGTTTTTGACGCAACCTGATGTGTGCTTACAAATGGTCATTCGTGACAAAAAAATAATAATAAGGATGCAATCTAATGGTTTTGTAAACCTTATAGACATTTCGTGATATTAAGCCTAATTTCTTTTTCTTGGATAGTTTTTTATTTTGAACATTATGGTTTGATATATAAAGGGTATATGTTTTTTTTTCAAAGAGACATAAAGCGTATATGTTAGTTAAAGTGAAAGTCTAATATGCTGCGAACGAAGACTACAAATTGGGCCATTGGTACCCATTGTAGGTCAATGCGGTTGCTTTTCGGCATGATATTTAAGATTTGGACCGGGCCTACCCCATAATAGTGTTGTGTGATGCATGCGTTCAGAAACTTGTGGTGGGGATGGGCCATTGATTATCGATAATGAATCTCTATGGAATTCAAATTGGACTCAGCACAAGGCGTCTGCATTTGATCACGAGTCATAGGACCCTCAACTTATTCATAGAGTAGATGTATTAAACATGTTCTTAACAAGAATAACGACTGTTTATACCAAAAAGAAGAAGAAGAATCGAGATTGAAATAGAGTATGGACCAATGCAAACAGCATCAGATTCTGTGGGATCATAGAGCGAAAAAACCAACATATCATCCATTATATATATATATATATATATATGCCTTAACTTGCTCATCCATCAGGTGGTTAAGCAAACCATCTTTTAAATAGCTACGTAGTACATACCGTGACAGAGAAGTTGGCCAACATTAGTTACTTCATCAGAAAGTTAATTTTTCTAACTTGTCATCCATAGCGTCACGAAAACTAGTCTTCTTTATTGGTTTATGTGTCCTTCCACCAGGGCTTCTAGTTGTCTGATTGATATGATCCAACGCTGGCGATGCAATTGAAGTATGGTTAACTGAGAATGGACTGGGTGATATCCTCTTCTGTTTTGGCATAGCACCACCAAACCTTCCCTGGTCATACAGAGACACAGACTCTGCAGCTACCCGTTGTTTCGTGGCATCATCTACATATAGCAGATCATCAATCCTTGCCATTATGTTGAACGCCAAGCTCTCCATCACCCTAGAATAGCTCTCAAGGACTGATTGCCCCACATCCTGCAACAAATCATTCATTTCATTAGCACGTAAAAAGCACAACAAAACTAGAGTGGATATGCATCATCTTCAAACTCATACTTCTCATTTTTGACATTCAATCTCTAGTCTGGATCTGGAGTACCAAATTAGTCAATCCTGTGGTTTCAATATTTATGTTCATATTTTTTACTGTCAAAATGAAATGTTAGAAACGGCAGGCATTGTGCTTGACCTGATCAACTATCCTTTCTTTCTTTCCAAGCAAAGATGATAAATCTTTTTGGGCCTATACCTTGTTGTACTGAATCTTGTTCATGTCCAGAGCAGTCTGTGGGAGCCCAGGGAACCGTATCCTTAGGTTCTGTAAGAGGGTATCAGCCCGATGCGCTAGAAGCTTGCTTTTTTCTGTGTCACTGACAAAGCCTTTGACCTTTCCTCCCCAGGATGACTTTCCAGTATTCACAAGAGTTGGATGGCATTTCAGGTGTTTCTGCTTCCAAATGTGCGCAGCAGCCTCAATCCGGTTTGCTATTTCCAGAGTTGTGTATTCTGATGAGAGGTCCAAGTAATCAAGAAGACATTCTGGGGAGAACCGATCAGCAACTATAAAACGGTAAATGATTTCGCCTAAACATGCTTTCGCACTCTGGGGAAATTGGTAGAGTGATGTCAACATATATTGTGGTAATAAATCAGATAAATAGAGAAAAGAGAATCAAACATGACTTAGCCGTGTGATTCCTAGGCCGTAACCGGAAAGGATAACTAAAAGCAAATACTTTTTCATTGTGCAGCAGGAAATAAGAGCAACAGAAGAAAGTGAGAGATATGAACATGAAATGCAAACATGACACCATACTTAATATCTTGACAATCTATACCTTAATTTTAGAACTGTACAATGATGGTCGAAAATCCAACTTACTGTGGCTGAAAAGAACTACACTCCATATGGTTTTCGAAAAAGTGACAAGAAAAATAAATTTATCGCTGTGTATCCTGTGTGTGCATGATCTTAATATTCATAACATGATTGATCATACATAGGAATAGATATAAAGGAACCGTTTTCTCCTTACCTTGGGCAAACTCTCCAAATAAGCATCAGGGATTTCCATTTCAGCCAGAACACTACTATTGATCGCCAATGCAGCCTTAAGGATCTGATTTGTGCATTCCCTACACTGTTGCAATGTCTTCCTCGCATTCTCAGAGAGACCATTTGGGGGGACCTTAGGGAATGGGAGCCACCACTTCTCTTCTTGCCTGATTGAAGGTCTATCGGAAGAGGAAGACAGGGGAATTGTTTCACCGTCATCAGAATCAGCAACAATTATCCCTCGGTCAACATAGTAAAATTGAGAATCATGGAATCCGTCAAGAATGCTAAGCAGCATCGCATCTAGTTTCTTGAGTGCCGGCAGGTTTACATATAGATCAGAGCGGGGCCGAGTGACCATAACCTCAAATGTTCCACCACCAGGGAATTCTTGTATTGATGGTATGAGCTCAACAATAGAATCACTTACACACAAAAGCCAATCCATCTCCCGGCACCACATTGCCTTCTTCTGGGGTGCCAATGGCTCCAACTTCCACAACTCCCCAAACACAGTGGCTGACAAAGAAATCCAATGAAAAGAAACATAAAACTAATTGGATAATTGAGGGGGAAACATAAAACAATGATTCTACTCCTCTCTTCTGTTTCTCTATAATATAACTATGCTTCTTCTATATTCAAACAGTCAAGAAGAAGGGGGTTGGGGGAAAATTGTAAGGAAATACGTAACGGATAACCCAAGAAGACAAGAATTTGTACAAACCGGAAAGATTTGTGATGGCATTGGAAATAGCAAGAGCCGTACAGACTCCCTTGCCTCCCCCTGACATGTCTTCTCCAAGCAGAAGCTTTGCAAACCGCTCCTTCATCAATTCAACCTCTGCAGATAGCACAAATATAATCCATTAAATGTCTAATTCTGCAGCTGCACTCTAAGTAACAGGAATGTGTGGAAAGAATAGCAAAATTTCATACGTTTTTTGCCTCAATTGGAGCGAAAAAAGAGACAATCATACAAGTTCCAAGCCTTAAAATGATGCCTCACTCACACATAAATTAATAGGAACCGGAAAGGGTCAAATTTTGCATTACAATTGTAACTCTAAAGAATTGCAAACATTTCCAAAGTAAAGCATACTGACCGGACAACTTGGTCTCAGGTTTCTCAGCCTTGGTCGCGGGAATGACGACATGTCGTCCACCGACCGCCGGAAACAAAAAGGGTATAGGCGGCTGGTGCTGACAAACAAAAATGTCAGCGAAGTCGGGTCCGGATGGAGGGGATGAAGAAGTCAAAGAAGTGGAAGCAGCAGCAGGAGCTTCGTGCCGACAGGAAAAGTCACTGGTGGAGCTTTCGGACTCACTGACGTCTGCACTCAAGCTGTAGCTCTCGAACCTCTGACTCAACTCATCTTCAGAGGAGATGCAGATGCTCCCCATTGATATATGAATCAAACTCAAACCCCAATATCTCTCTCTCTCTCTCTCTCTCTCCGCCAAGGAAAAAGGAAAGTGGAAAGATCAAAGATTAAACTACGGTGCTCTGCTCTCTCCCTCTACCGTTATAGCTTTCTTGTATAAATTAAGTGTCTGTGGTCTGGTCCCACGTAGGGGACAGAGCAGCAGGTTGCTCTTTATTTGAGTGGATGGATGGATTGGTATATATCTACTATTTACCCACGTGTTGTTCTGAAGCTTGCTTGCTTCCTTTCACGCGCTGAGGTTACCTTGGAATTGGATGATTGGATCTAAAAAATATAATTTCTTTATTTTTTCTTCTCTGGAAACTGGAAACTGGAAACAAGTAACATATAAAAAATAATAATTTCGCAGTTGGCTTTGGTCAGGGTCGTAAATTGCATTGTACGGATAGAAATGTTTTAGTTCCAAGGTATCTCTTCAAGTAATGTTCTTAGTTGTTCAACATATTATAATTGAGAACCCAATGGGTTAGTCCAGTTCCCACTTCTCATGGGCTGTGCCATCCCGTCCCCACTGAGCTTCCAGTTAATCCATTTCAACGTTAACAACCCAATGGGTTAGTCCAGCAGACGGTTCAAAAGCCCATATGGGAATTTTAATGTCCAAACGTTTTTCGCTGTATGGATGTTGGATGATGGATGATGGATCAGTAACGAGTTGATTTGCTTTTGCTTTGCATATTAATTTGTGCGGATGGGTTTTAATTTAAGGGGCTAGGCTAGTCAAAATTATGGCGACATAAACCACACACAATGAGCACACATTAGCCCACATTCTTATTGGCAAGTAACGCTCAGCAAGCATTGATGCCTCGAGGTTCCAACTTCCAATGGCCGAAGGTTTTGACTCCTGAGGATTCGGCGTAAACAATGTTGTCATATGCTCGCCACGCCAATGCCATTTCCCCAAGGCTCCCAACAAATCACGCTCCTTTTCTTTCTCTTTTAAATACAACATCAAACACTTCATCTTCACATTCGTCTTCGTCTTCGTCTTCGTCTGCAGGAATAGGACGACGACTAGCATTTACCCAAACCCAACCGCCTTCAATCTCAATCTCAATCTCAAGCCCTCTCAAATCCCTTCGTTTTCTTTCTCGTTACGTTAATAAGAAAAAAAGGTCTTCCGTTCGCTCTCTTTCATTTCTTTCAAAACCTAGAATGGGCTCGCTTTGTGCCCTGGACCTGCCCTTGCAATACCCTGGAGTCCGCAGAGATGAGTCTGTTATCGATGACTACCATGGCGTCAAGATTGCCGATCCTTATAGATGGTATAGTACAACCTCCTCTTGTCTATATATTTCCCACCATTTTTTTTTTAAAATTTGTTTGTTTGTATGGAAATTGAAATTCATTATCGAAGAAGATTTTCTTTCAAGGGTTTCAATAGTATGTAGAATTTGTACTTAGAGTTTCAATCCTAGACCCTAGCATTTGTACTGCTTGTTATCTCAACGAGGACCAATCGCCGACTTCTTGATGCTGCTTTTTTTATTTATTTATAAGAATTTGATCGAATTTTGATTTTCTGACTCTTTGGGGTTAAATCTTTTAGGCTTGAAGATCCTGACTCAGAAGAGACAAAGGATTTTGTACAGAAACAAGTGGAACTGACACAGTCGGTTCTAAAGGAATGCGATATGAGAGGTAAGCTGAGTGAAAAGATCACCAAGCTTTTCGATCACCCACGCTATGATCCACCTTATAGGCAAGGGAATAAGTACTTTTACTCCCATAACACTGGGCTTCAAGCCCAAAACGTCATCTACGTCCAGGTTGGCCATTGGCTCTATATTGGATAATCAACTGCATATAAATTCTTTCATTCCTCTGTTTCCTTCTTCTTTCCTTATTTTCTTTCTGGGGGTTCATTTGTGGTTTTAGGACAGTTTGGATGGAGAACCAGAAGTTTTGCTTGATCCTAATACGCTCAGTGAAGATGGGACTGTATCTTTGAACACACATTCTGTAAGTGAGGACGCCAAGTACGTGGCCTATGCCCTTAGCACAAGTGGCAGTGATTGGGTAACAATCAAAGTGATGCGGGTTGAGGATAAGAAGATCGAGCCTGATACTTTATCTTGGGTAAGCGCTGGTGTTTATGTATGTTTTGATATAAAGTAATGTGCGTTCTCCATGGCACCTTTACCGAGATGAGCTTACTATTTTCAGGTCAAGTTTTCGGGCATTTCCTGGACACATGATAACAAAGGGTTTTTCTACAGCCGATATCCAGCTCCAAAGTAAGTTGAAATCATGTATCTTTGCACTAAAAAGTTGTGGGCATGTGGATTTTGATGGAGTTCTCTAATTATCATGGCTGATAGTTTGAGACTTTCAGTTATTATAAATTAATAAGATACAGAATAAAAAAAGTGGCAGAATTGGTGTAGCTGTTCTTGCTTTACTTAATTTGGAGAATCCAAAGATGGTTAAATGGCTATTGCTAGTCTACGATTAGCTAAAGTTTGGGCTGTGAGTATAGAAATGTGGATATAATGGCACAAAGAGTCGTTGAAATTGAATTTATTTAGAAACTTAGAAACTATTATTGGGACAATGAATAGCTATGTTAGGTTTATTTTGATATTTCCTCGTTTGTGAGACTTGTGCAGAATGATGAAATTGAATTTATAGTACTGTTGATTTGTTCTGTAGAGAAGGAGAAGATATTGATGCTGGGACAGAGACCAACGCAAATCTTTATCATGAGGTTTACTATCATTTCGTGGGTACAGATCAATCGAAAGACATACTATGCTGGAAGGATCCTGAAAATCCTAAATACTTGTTTGGAGCCGATGTTACTGAGGATGGGAAGGTAGGTCGATTTTGTTATCTTCCTGGATTTTATGGCTCAGTTAGAGTAATGTTCCTTTTCTTCTTGTTGAAGCAGTATGAGTCTTGTACTTAAAATGAAGCCTAAAATTAAGACATGTCACCTGCTCTCTCCATATAGTTTTGTGATTTTGCATTAGAATGGGGTTTACAGTTGAGGTCTCACCCAGAAACTCTGCCCAGTGGTGAAACTGCTCAATGTATACAATTTGTAGTATGTGTAGAGAAAGGATTCAGTGACTCATTTTCTGTAGAAGAGGGCCCTCTGTTTGTAATAGAAGCATGTATCATATCAGGTTTTAAGTGCTATTAATACTGGCAACTTAGCAACCAAGACGCATCACCTTTGGAAAATCATAGTAATGACACGCATTATGAGTCATAAATACTGGCTGTTGTCTGTCCAATATACTGTTAGGGAAGCATCATTTCCCTTGCAAATGGGCATTTAAGTCTTATCCTTCTTTATGCCATTTTGTCATTCACATTTACGTCTTTAGATCTTTTGTTTTTTTGTTTTTGAACGGAATCTGTTAAAGGATACTATAATAGCCACCACACTATTGATGGCGAATTATGTGTGAATACGTTCAATAATCATTCACCATACAGAAAATGGTGCCAGAGTCCAAGAGTTTCATATTGAAGCATTTGGGCCATGGTTGTAAGACGGATCTAATGACGTGGATGTTACAGCTCTATATATTTATGAAGAAAAAAAAAGTGGATATTAAATTCTTATATAATTTTTCTAGTTTTTTTCCCCTGTGAAACACCCCTTAGAAATTGCCATTTTTGTTTTTATTAGATTGTTGTATAGCTTAGAAAAAGCAGATTTATTGTAATATTATTTTGAACTAACTTTTTTTTTTTTCTGGTACTCTGTAATCTGCAGTATATAATTCTATCTATTACTGAGGGTTGCGACCCAGTCAACAAATTTTATTACTGTGACATGTCTGCACTTCCTCATGGGCTTGAAGGTCTAAGGGAGAAAAATGATTTGCTCCCAGTTCTGAAGCTTATCGATACATTTGATGCAATGTATCATCTCATTGCAAATGATGACAATCTGTTTACTTTTCTGACAAACAAAGATGCTCCCAAATATAAGTTGGTCCGAGTTGATCTAAAGGAACCAACTGTTTGGACTGACGTTCTCCAAGAAGCTGAAAAAGATGTACTTGAATCAGTACGTGCTGTGAATGGTAGCCAAATGATTGTTAGTTACTTGAGTGATGTGAAGTATGTACTACAGATTAGGGATTTGAATTCAGGTAACTTGCTGCATCAATTACCCGTTGACATTGGCTCAGTTAGTGGGATTTCTGGAAGACGTGAAGACAGCACTGCTTTTTTTGGGTTTACGAGTTTTCTCACCCCTGGTATAATATATCAGTGTAATTTAGCGAACGAAATTCCGGACATGAAGGTATTTCGCGAAATTACAGTTCCTGGGTTTGATCGCTCAGAGTTCCAAGTTGATCAGGTATTAGAGCTTGTTGTATTAGTGTCACTAGCTTGATCTCATTCTTTCTATGTACCTTCAATTTTTTATCACATGCAGTATTTCATTTACTATATGATGGGTTTTTTCATTATCCAGGTATTCATTCCCAGTAAGGATGGAACTGAGATACCAATGTTTGTCGTGGCCAGAAAGAACATTCCTTTGGATGGATCACACCCGTGCTTGCTATATGGATATGGTGGATTCAACATTAGTATTACGCCTTATTTCAGTGTTAGTCGTATTGTACTTACAAGACATTTAGGTGCTGTTTTCTGCATAGCAAATATCCGTGGTGGTGGAGAGTACGGGGAGGAATGGCATAAATCAGGCTCCCTTGCTAAAAAGCAAAATTGCTTTGATGACTTCATTTCTGCAGCTGAATACCTGGTATCTGCCGGTTATACCCAACCCAGCAAGTTGTGTATCGAAGGTGGAAGTAATGGTGGGCTGCTCGTTGGGGCTTGCATAAATCAGGTGCGGCATTTTTAGTTTTGTTTACTATTAAAACTGTAGTGAATGATTTAAGAATATGAAGAAAAAAAAATTGCCTTCTCGCAGAGACCCGATCTCTTTGGTTGTGCACTAGCTCATGTTGGTGTTATGGACATGCTACGGTTCCACAAGTTTACCATAGGTGAATTTACTTCCTTTTTGGTCTTCTAAGGTTTTTTTTTTTCTTCTGGTTGCAACATATGTTTGATGTAGAAGAGTTTCTCAGGTCATGCATGGACTTCTGATTATGGCTGTTCTGACAAGGAGGAAGAATTCCAATGGTTAATTAAGTGAGTACTGTTTTGAGGTGTATCTGATTGCAGTCCTGTTTTAGTTATGGCAATGTTTTAAAATTCTGTAGAAGTATTTCACTGCCTTGTTTTAGTCTCAATTCTGTGATGGATAGTGATGGTAGGATAAAGTATTACTCCAATTCACATCTGCTTAGAACTCCATAAACAAGATTTCTCATTCTTTGTTGGAATGAGTGTGATTGTTAGGATAAGAGGGATTGCAGTACATATTTATGCATTATGCTTGATGCGCCTCTTCTTCAGTCTTTACTAGGCAATTTGTAAGCATGTTTTGTTCCGATTTCTGTGACAGGCTCAGATGTCTTGATGGTTCTTGTAAATATGAATATCAGCTTATCCCTCCCTCCCTTCTACTTTCAGGTACTCGCCTATACACAATGTCAGGAGACCATGGGAACTGCATGCAAGCCAACCTCACCAGTACCCATCTACCATGCTATTGACTGCAGATCATGATGACCGAGTCGTACCATTGCACACGTTGAAGTTATTGGCGGTGAGTCTCTTTTGCGAATAGAATCTACAAGTCATTATTGTATGGGAATGTAAACATTGTGGCCTTAATATGATTTCTCATCATCACTGCTTTTATCACCTATTATCAAGACAACTCTTTTATTTATTTGTGCATTTGTCTGTTTCAGTTGTGTGTGTTATTCACTTTTATTGATTTTGTGCTTTTGTTTGTTTCAGTTGTGTGTGTTATTTTCTCTTCAATTGTATAATTGATTCTCTTTATTCTTAGACCTTGCAATATGTTCTGAGCACAAGTTTGGAGAAAAGCCCACAGACCAATCCGATTATTGGTCGCATTGAATGCAAGGCAGGGCATGGAGGTGGACGTCCAACCCAGAAAATGGCAAGTATCTGATTGAGTTTATATTGTCATTAATGGTCCCGACTCATTGTATTTATATATGGCTCTTGTATTTACAGATTGATGAAGCTGCTGACAGGTATAGTTTCATGGCTAAGATGTTGGATGCATCTTGGATAGAGTAGTAGTTTTATCGATGCTTGACAACAAAGATGAAAAGAGCGAAAAAAAAATTCATGGCTAAGTTGGGTGCATGCTGTAGTCGACCTCCTGGGTTAGGTTTAGCTTAGCACAGGCTATTTTAAAGTTGAACTATGGCGCGCAAAGCAATACGTTATCTTGAGCTCTGGTAGCTATTGATCAACACAAGATGAATTCAGCCTTCTATCAAGAAGGGCTCCATTTTCCATTTTCCTTTTTTTTTCCTTTTACCTTCTAAATTTGTAAGGGATCTTGTTCTATATGTTCTATAGATTACTCTTGGACAATTAATCTCGATATTCCTAAATAATCATTTTATATTGTACACCACAAAGGCCAAAATTTGGTACACCAGAAACGGCTCAACCATAACTTTTGGTCGCGACCTAAGTCGTTTATCTCAAAAGTTTCATTACTGTTCCACGTAAAACTTATGGATGGTGAACTATTCGTTGTAGCCAATCGTTGTCAAGGTAAGTTCAACCGTAGATCGAGTGAATGGAAAAAATAGTGGCTCAAAGTTTTAAGGTTGGGCAAACCTCACGGGAAAGATAATTGTGTTTGGGCCCCAGAATTCTTAATCAGCCTATAAGCTGGCCCGTATACTACCCCATTAATTTAAATGGGGCCAGATGTCAGCCCATTTTTATTTCCTCCTCCAATTTTGGGTCGCTTTAAATTTTGGCCTGTTATGGACTGCTATGGACTCTATAGTGCGGGTCTTATATAAGGCCCTTAGATGAGATCCTATCTCTTAACTGTTGGATCAAAGTACAAAGACTCATAAATCCATCCCAAGCCTTCTCTTCCACCTCTCCTCTCCCTTGTCTTCCATGGATTATTTGATTACATGGTTCGATTGGATAGTTTAACATGGGATTGCCCAAAAAGAGCAAGCCGACCCTCCATTTGGGCGCGAAACAAGAAGGGTCCGCAGGAGAAGAGGGGCAAGCTAGTTTGATCCAACGGTTAAGTAATAAGGCCCTCACTATAGAATAGAATGACTCGTAAATATTTGGACTTTTTTTTTGGACCGCAAAGTGCAGTTCTGTTTTGCTGGGCCGCCAGTCATAGTTCTTTAGCCTTGGGCCGCATCCTTCAATTCCACAAATCGAATATTATTTATAAGGTCGCCTTTTATAGTCCTCTTGATTCGGACCGCCTTTTAATATTGGGCTACTTCTCTTTAATAGTGTATTGTTGGGCCACTTTCAAACTTGAGCTGCCGTTTAATTAACTGGGCTTTATGCCGCATTTTTCAACTGAGCCCATTTTTACCTTAATTGGGCCTCTAGTAACAATTAAAGCCCAGCTAGGTAGCAAATCAGTGGATTCATGTAAAGTTCCTCGCACCAAAACAAAATAAAAAATTGGGCTAAGATAGTGTGCTAGGAACTGGGCCGAGGTGTTCTGTTGCAGGGCCCATAAAGGAAATTTTAAACTTTGAGCTCACTTTGCTTTCACTGGGGCTTTGATGGGGGCGAGTTTAGTTTTTTTATTATTGGGCCCGAAGACCATCATCAGACCATTACAACTTTCGGCTAATGTAGTTAGGTCCAGTAAACTTCTAACTAATTGGGCCTATAAAATATAATTACAGGACTTCCAGCTCGGTTCAAAAAAAGCCCATGACAATTCAAGCCCTTTTTTGCCAAAACTTACTAAGGCCACAGACGTTTTAGTGCATTCATTTAATTTAACATCAGTGAATAATAACCTGCTAGTGCATAACTTAAAAAGATCAGTACATCAAGCAAAAGGAAAATGTACTTGTATCTTCAAATAAAAATCAACATAAAAAACATGAAAGTGCAGGCCGGCCATAGATGAGAGCCTCTGGAAAACAGAAACATCTACATTCTAAACTCTCGCTGATCAATCTGCTGCGTCATTTAGTCTGAACAGTATATGAATTCCCCCAATGCTGCAGCTTCAGCTGAGTAGTTGTACAAAGTAATGGTCCTGCAAGGGGAACTCAGTTTTCAAGCCTGACACCGGAAAATAAGACAAATGAATAAAGGAATAAACAATAACCTCATTCAGTGAGAAAACATTCCATTTTCACATCTGTTACATCAAGCCGCAGTATCTCTGCTCTACAAGTAAGAATTGATCCAACGCTGCAAAAGACGAAGGGAAGCCATTCTGATCAACAGAACATAAAGAGCAGAGTCCCCAGCCAGTCAAAAGAAGGGATTTTTAATGTCCCAAACCCTAACCTCTCAAGGGATCATGATGACCGAGACAGAACCCTAACCTCTCAAGGTCCAGGTGATTAAAAAATAAATTATACCTAGGTTGGGTGCGTCCGAGGTCCCCATGAATGAATTCCTTGATATATGTTCCAGCCTGTGCTACAAGGACATACATAAGTGTTCTGTTCCATACATACGAATTTAAAGAGGCACTCTTCCATTAAAATCAGAGGCCAAAATTCAACTAAGTAAGTAAATAAGATATACATGCATAAAGTATTTTTAATGCAGGGTTAATGCGAAACATGAAAAGAATGGAGGTTTCAATCTTACATTCAAAGTATTAAAACTTTATATGTCATAAGTACAGAAACCTGAAACACTTGTTTCCTAAACATATTTGATTACCAAAACCTAAGGTCCAAGATTTTAATAAAAAGATGCCAGCAAACAAATTTTAGCTCAATCAAGTTAATTGATTCAGTTTTACTTTCATGCTAAGAAGCTATAAAAAGTTTACCTGTGTACATAGATGCAGAAGAAAATACTGAGAACTTCCAACAATCCTCTCGATTCTCATCCTAAATTGGAAAGTAGAGAAACATTGTTTCAGATTAAAAACATGATAACATCTAGAACATTATTGTGCCAAAAAATTCGAATAATCCACAAACCAATGTATGATCTTTTCACGTTCTAATGGACTTCGGCGATGCAGCACCCTGATTGGAGTCCTCTGCAGAATATGCTGCACAAAATAAATAGATATAAGACAGAATTTCAATTAAGGAAAGGAAAGCTTTGAAATCAAGGAATATTATTTGCACAACAAAAACTATAGAAGATTTCCTCTGTCATAAGAACTAACTTATAAAATACTAAAAGAGAACAAATTATGTATATTTAAGCAACGACGAATGAACAAAAAGAAAATTAAGAATAGCTCATAACAAATTTGGAGAAACCCTTTCCATTTTTTATTGCTGATTACTCATAATTAGTTCACAGGCAAGGTCCTTCCTAAATAAAATCTTTTCCATGCATCATATTATGTCATGCTTTAGAGTTGACGATAAACAAGTAGAAAACTATTATGAGGCTTAAAGATAGCTCACCATGTCTTCAAGTGAAGATATAGACTGCAAGTCTTCATCCTTGAGAGGACGAGAAATCCACACTAGTGCAGTGTATTGCTTCTGCGTGCAAATACAAGACAATATAACAAGCCATCAACATGAGATGGGAAGAAGGGTAGGGGAAAAGAGAAAAAATTAAAAATAATAAGAAGAAGAACAAACCTGTTTCTCTGCTTCTCCTTCACGCATCAGTTCCCACGACTGACTGCCCACCAGTTTCAGATTTTTCACACCTACCTGCATCCATAATGTGCTCTTTTGTTATTGCTCAATGACAAGAGAAACAACAATGTTGATTTGGCAGTGAGCTCACCAGTTTCTTTTCCAAGTTATTTATCTTTGTTTCCAAAAAATTTACAGACTCTTCAGATGGGATATAGCGTGCATTTTGTATTTCAAGGAGGAAAGGCCTTCCAGAACCCAACATCCGAACCTAAAAAGATACGTACTTCAGAATTTACTTATTAATTCAAACTGCAGTACAAAAAAGCAGATTTCCATTACATCTATATCTTCTCTGCCAGCAGCATGAAACTTATAGTTATCACCACGACATAGAGGAAGAACGTTGCTACCTAGTATCTCCTATACAGGAAAACACAAATAAATGTCAAGATTTCCACCATTGTTTCCAGAAGAACAAGCCAAATTAGAAAGACTGGCCAATATTTGGAAATATTACCTCGACAGATGCTTCTCCCATTCTCTCATCATCAATAATCCAACAGGTTTGACTCACATTTCTTGAGTACTGTAACATAAAGAATAATTAGCATTGATTACCTTTCGGCAACCACAAGATTAGCTAATGACGCAAAGCAACTAAAATGTTAGCTAATGAAGCAGACACAACCTCAAGATTAGCTTAATGACACAGAGGTTAGTATCCACACATTGAAATAATAACAAAACATCTCAAACCCATTTTTCCATCTTCAGATAGAAGATCCAAGCATCCCTAAAGATGCACAAGTACACATACACACAAACTATATAATATCTCTTGCTTTGAGTGAGTGTGAGAGAGAGTGATGGCTTTACACACAATAATTAATATGAGAATAATCCTAACACCTTTCTGGCCTCCTAGTAAGTAAACAGGTCAAAAGTAGATTTGGATGTGCCCAAATTAGCCTAAAACTTGGGTATGCTCAGATAAGCTAGTCTGTCTGAGACGAGAAAAAAAACAATTAGCCTACCTTCAGGTATCTCCCACCAACGTAGATTTGCGTCCTGTAGCAGAGAAACTCCAAACAGCAAGGTTCATTGGACTAGAAAGGATAAATGAAAAGTGAAATTACAATCAACATCATAAACGAGGTTTTTTTTAAACAAATACTTAGCAAAAAAAACTGACTATAAAAGTGTGATACATAAAGGATTCAGCTCTGATACCAAGCTAATGCTTGAAACTAAAAAGGCAGTCTCATACTTGTACCCTATGTATATCCAAAAGAACAAATCTTAGCACTTGTTGTCTAGTAACACAAAGAAAATAACAGTAACTCTCACATTAAGTTCACTCATCATTGTTCCCCCATCACATCACATCCAAAAATGGCAATTATAGTCTTCAGATCATTTGAAAAAATGGAACTCTCAGCAACCAATACCAAACAAAATTCCATTAGAGTACCTGCCCTAGCAGTAACTTCAGGCACTCAGACGATTCATTAGCTTGCAAACTCACAAACGACCTTTCAACAACTGCACCAGCTTCAATTGGTAGGCCAGAGCATTTGATGTCATCATCAATTGTGTTCAAACCATTTCCTGCGCCTGTAACAATAACAGTAAATAGATATCGAACAGTGCTAAAATTCTACTCCAGTGATAATATTTTAGAATTCTATAACATTACAAACACTCATGCCATGTACATAAGTTCTCAATTATGGGTTTAAACACATATGGAGGGCTGAATCTGAGGTCACTCTGAAATTTGCAATAAAAACAGGAACAAGTGGTAGTAGTATAAAACTGAACATGCCTGTTTTTCTTCTTTTACCTCCGTGGCACCCCTCTACAGAATTCTCAACTGTTTTTGATGATATACAGTGAGTGTATGTCAAACGGATGCGGAAAGCGCTTATGTTGGATTTGCAACCCTGCAAAACTTCAATTCATACTAGATTAAATTGACTATTCGTATCTTTTATGAATCATATAAAATTCACTGTTCTCAACAAAAACCTTTTTATTTTCTTTTCAAATTATGTCATATAAATAACAGAATTAGAATCCGAAAGAATCTTTGCATACCAACATTGTTTCAAGGGATTCCATAAGAGAAATTTTTAGAGCATCCTTTGCAGAAATGCATTCAGAAATTGATTTTCCTTGGAACCAAAGTTCAGATTCATACTTTCTTTTCATATACAACCTACAAAAGAAAATGAAACATTAAAGCAACCAATATGTACAATGAGCTCAAATCAAAGAAACTTAAATGTGGACTAAATAGAAATTTAACTATACTTGGGATGTAGACTGTTAACTAGGTTCACCATATTTCAGAAATGTTCCAAAGTTCGAAAGTCAGAGCTTTTCTGTGAAACTACAAATCTTACCAAACAGTGTGATCGTTTTCCAGGACAATTGGAGGTATAGACACTTCAAGAGAAAAGCTGTCAATCTCAAAGCCCTGTTGCCTAATCAGACTGGAAATGGAAACAGCCAACTCATTAGCGCTCTCCTTTTCCGTCACCAACTTCTTATCCTCATAATAAGTAAACTGCAAGATCCCCAAACAAATGCTACAAACTACCGGTTCTCTGAAATTACCATCCACCATATGTTTCTCCGAACATGTTGAATCTCCAAGAACTGAACTCAACATTGACGGTGATAGTGAAGAACGATAATAAACATGCTCTCTGATCCCAAATAATCGCAAAATGCATCTGGTGCATACCTACAACAGAAAAACATATATATCTAATCTGAAAATTTCAAAAGCGTTTGAATAATCTATTGAGGACATTTTAGCCGCATCTACTTAGAAGGCGAATACTCGTCTACCCGTAGGAAACGAGCCTCAACAATACAGATGCAATAGGTTTAAGATAATCCAGTACGAACAATCTTTAGAAGAATATGAGCCCAAAAAAATCTGAAGGAATGACATTTGAAGAACCGTAATTGGCTACCACTACAATAAACTCAATATATAGTAAATTCCTAAGCGTTGTTCTAAACGTAAAGAAACACTTGAACTAATACAGGAAAAAGGCAAGAAGATAAAAATTAGGGTAACGGAGGTCACCCCTATGGACAATAAGTCTATCACGGCGCAAATGGGCAACTCTCGGACGACATCGCAGAGAGCTCGTACATTGTCACCATTAACGGTGGGCTGCGAAGCCTCTTCAGTGTCGCTTGGCATTTCGAAAAGCCCTAAGCGCAGTCGAAGATTTGTACTTGTCAGAAAGACGAAGACTCAGTTTTAACGTTTATGCCAAACACGCGCGTCTCTGATAGAAGCACCTAGCTTTGTATGAAGATTACAAGAACACAAGAGTCTATTTGCGGCCCTACTTGAATGGAAAGGGCAAAAATGTCCAGGTTGAGTAGCAGCAGCCCATAAATAAAAGCTAGGGTAAAAATAATCGCTGTCAGATTTGCTGTGAGAAAAAGTAGTTTGGTGTTTGGCAAACTTTTTGTTAAAAGTGTTGTTGATATCAATTCCCGCATAATCAAAAAATGATTGTTGCATGATCATTAAACCCAGTGCCTCTTCAAAACTGATTCATGAATCCAACGTCTCAACATGAAATACAAAATTACTTATTAAAGAACCCGAAATTTCATGCTCCAACATACACCAAAATACAAAAACACAAAAAAGCTTAGAACTCACTACAACCTGGCACACAATCCAACACAGATGATCAGTCGAAGGCTACCGAAAGTATTGTTATTATTTTATTTTGGGGTATTTTATTATAAATCTCTGTTATTATTTTATTCCTTTTATATGGATCTTTGTCGGCAACAGCAATGGTCTTAAGGCCCCGTTTGGTTCACGGAATGGATTTGAGGGGAAATCAATTCCCATGTCATTTCCCAAGGAATGGGAATGAAAGATTCCTTTCCCACGTTTGGTAATGTTGGGAAAGTAATCGGGAGATTTCACTTTGTTTCCTTTCCCATGTTTGTTTTGAGTAGGAATGGAAAACAAAATTTGTATAATTTTCCAATTATACCCATATTAAATCAAATAAAAAAAGAATGCATTTAATGATACGTTGTAATTATAAATTGTTCATAGGGACAAAATAGTCATGAAAATTGTGCATTGAATGTTGGCACATTTTCCCAAACTTTCCCATGAGGAGGGAAAGCAAAACCCAAGTTAAGAGGGGGGCATCACTTTCCCCCCTACTTTCCCATGTGCCAGGAATCCGTTTCCCATTCCCGGACTTACCAAACATGGGAAAACAATTGAATTCCCATTCCTATGCCTCCTTTCCCATGAACCAAACGGCCCCTAAAGGTAATCACCAAAAGAAAAATGAAAAATTATGTCAAAAGCCCAACAAACTCCAAATTTTATATTGGCCTCTGGAAATAAAAATAAATAAATAAAATATTTAAGTGGCTCTAATTTTTTTCAGCAATACATTATAAGTGAATTACTATTAGTATGCTAAATGAGGTGTAAATATTAAATTTTTTTAAATCTATTTTCTATTTTCTATTTTTCTTTTTTTAAATGCAGAGTTTACACCAAATATTTCCCTTTTTGTTTATGGAACCTCACATTATTATTTCCTGAGACGTGAGAAGTGTCAATTGAAAGTAAAAGGTTCATAACCCTGTAATATTTCCTTTATTGTTTACAGCATCAATACACGACAGCGACACGCTTCATATGCTTATTTAGTACAAAATACATATGTAAATAAACAAGTGTTTTACAGCGACGACGATAAACCATGGAGATCCACATATCCAGAAAGCACTGTCCGGCTTCGTTCCTTCACCTTTGTTTGATATATGACCCTGCATATTTGAACACTAACATTAACTCGATGGGGTTTATAATAAATGATTCACAGAGACCAATGAATGAGACACAAATCTACCTTAAGCCTTCAAGCCACATTTCAGTGAGCAAAGTTTCACCAGGGTAGACATGTAAAAGGAATCGGCCTGATATGCATTTAACCAGGTTTGGATCTCCTCTGCAAATGCATTTCACAATTGCCCTAACTGAAAATCCAAGTGTGCACAAGCCATGCAGTATCGGCCGTGTGAATCTTTGACAATGCAATATAACGATGTTAGATAAATTTAAATTTTGGGTTCATTTTGGATCTATGGTACAAATGAAAGTTGAAAAACAAGAACAAGTAAAACATAGCTCATTTCAAATACAATTGACTCAGAACTATATAAGACGCAGTATACTTTTTCTACTGCTATCAAAGTCGGCACGGCCTGAGCAAATGAGAAGAGAAAACATGACCAGGCAAAGAAATTGATTGGCCACAGTTATTGTAGTTACATGAAGAATAAATGCGCAGTATTAGTTGGCTACAGTATGACTCTTAGTATGTTGAGACAAAACAGAATCATAGGATCTGAAAGCGGATTATGAACTACACAAAATCAAAAGAAAAAACTTAACAAAAGCCCATCTATGTAATTAAGTGGGAAACCAACCCTGCAACTTTTGCGAATGTAGGATCTGAATGCAGAGGATTATAATCTCCAGATAGCCTATACAGCAACGCCTGCAGAAAGTCATAAAGAGGTCAAAAGATTCTATGTAGTTATATTTATATAAAAACTGAATGTATCCAAACCATAAATTGAACATGTTCATCACTCATAAAGATGAATAAAAGACTCTACTCTTTTTGTTTATCTTGAATATGCTAATTAAAGAAAACGTATTTTTAGATTTAAAGCAAGCACAAGCCATTAATAGCTGCCTATTAGTCGAGTCTTGGGCATACAAGCATACAAGCAGCATTGTGATCACCAATTGGCAAATAGGTTGACAAAGGGGCAACTAACAGAATTGGACCATAGCTTTGTTAGAACTCAACCATTTTTAATTCTGTAGGAAAAAGGACCAAATGCCATATGAAAGAGGAGCATGATCAAGGAAAATACTTGACTAAAACTAGGAGATTAACCTCCTAGTTCTGTACATGAGACAATGACTTTCATTCGTGCAATAATGAAATAAATGCTACATGCCTGAGATGGTTGTGTACAATCTTCAAACACTACAAAAGGTTGACCTTTTGGGATTTTCACAGATGGAACCTTGTCCTTTGGATAGTTTGAATATGAATATGGATGAGATGATTTTGAGAAGCCACCAGCACCTCTCAGAAAGGCAGTTGTCCTGAAAAGAAACACCCCAGCTGTGTCAATTGTATCGCAGTATTAGATCAGCTATCTCAAATGAGTACTCACCGATTCATGCATAACAATGCACCAGAATCTTTGTCGTAACTTTTTGTTTCAATCTCAAGAATAGCAGCTTTACCTGCAAAGAAAATTAACAACCACCAAAAAAAAAAAACCTAATTATAGCATTACTATCTCTATAAAGAAAGGGTTTAGGACAGTGATTATTTAAAGTGTGACTTCACTTTGGAAAAAGAAAGGATAGTGATTCTTTAAAGTTTGATTCTTTACCCTATCTCTATAAAGTGTGACTTTATTTGGAACTTCATATAACAGATGTGAACTTTCATGTAATATATAAACACATCAAACAGATACCATGCATCTTGCTTATATTTCTCCAAAGAACCTTTAAGTCAAACTTCCTCATACTAGCATGCATATGATTCTGCAAGTTACTGAAATAATAATATGCTTCTGCTAACAAATACAAACCTTTATCATGGAGTCCAGCAAGACTCACAGTATTTTTTAACTGCAAAAAAAAAAAGGTAACATAAAATAACACTTATTCTCTCTTCAAGGAAACAAATAGACGATAAACAAAACCAAACAATAATAAATTAATAAAAATTGATTTCATAACAAAGTAATCGCTAAAAGAAATAAATAAACTATTTAGGATGCTACCTTTTTTTATCTACAACCCAAAATGCTATTAAAAGCAAGGTTAATGGGCAATGAATTAGGTTCATTCCAAAATTAAACAATTTTTTGGCAGCCATGTCGGTTGGGCACAGACTCTTACTGCACTTAGACCAGTTATTACATACAGATGGTAGAAAAATAAAGCAATTCTAGAGAAGGTTCACAATGTAAAGAAGCCAGAGCTACTGCACATTCAGGCATAAAATACAGCTTATAGTAAGAGGCCATACACAAGCATTTGAAGGAAGTGGCTTGTATAATTCTATGTATTGTTGTCCATGCAGCAAAAGACGAGGATCAAATCTGGTGGCAACAAAAACCAGAAATTCCAGTCAGCAAAAGAAAAATAAATTCAGAATTTCATGAACCACCAAGCCAGTGTAAATTCAAGCATTACACATGAAATATGTAAAGGGGACCTTATCATCTATGCTTACTTCAACCCCGGCAGATCTAAACCTCCTGGCAGAGATCCAAGCGAGAACAGAGCAGCAAATGTTGGCAAGACCTATTGAAAATAGCAACACTATTTATGCTATGGATATGTTTTGTAAATATAAACAAACACGCAGCTCGCAGAAGCATGTTTGTACAATTATCTCAAATGATTCTACTAGACGAAATAACTCCAATGATGATTCAATGAAAAAGCAACTTGATTATATCATTAACACCTGGATAAACTTCTGGCCCTTTTCATGGTAAACAAATTGAAGTTGGTCGACGTCCACGGCATCCCGGGCGCAAGCTCCAATACCTAACGCATAGAGCGCGACATCTCTGCCAAGTTACAAAGGGTAAGTGTATAGACTATACATTTCAATGGCCAGGTAATTTCATAATTTTACAAAAAAACAGAAAAACACTGCTCTGAATCTGATAGAAACGCTTAAGCGTACCTCTCCGAATAGGTGTATGTCGTCTGAAGTCCCCAAATCAATGGAATAATTAGCCGAAAAGTAGATTAATTCAAGAGTTGAGAGCTGTGTAGAAAACGCAATTAACAAAGCATGAAAAACAAAGCGGAGCGCACCTCAGGGAATTTGTAAGACTCGATACGATCAGGATCGAACTCCGACGCATCCGACGACATCTCGACACTCTTTTTCTGTTTGCAAATTTTGGGTGTAATGTAAGAAGAAGGATAGGATGGGGAAGATCCAAGATAATGTCAGCTGGGGCGTCTTTCGTGTCAACAGTAACAGTCACCACATTCAATCAGTGTTCTGAGTTCATTGACCAAATATTATTTTGTTTTATTCATTTTATTACCGCTGCGCTGGATTGACTCTTCTTTTGTGTTTTTTTTGTTTATTCAATGGACTGACTTCGTTTTGGTGATGAAGACGGTTTCACTTTCAACTTAAAAAAAGCAAACATATAGTAAAAATATGTTCACCCAAAAACAGAGAGGCCGACAATCCGGTGCCTTTTCAATCCAGTCATTTTGTTAATGTTGTTTGCTTAAATCAATTAATCAACCACGAGAACGAAAGCAATAAAACAGCGAATGATAGTTATAGTTGAGAAGAGAAACGTAAAACAGAGAAATCATGAAATCAATACTCTGCAAAAGGAAAAAAAAGGAGAGAAAAACAAAGCCCCCCACCCCACCGGCCATTGCTTTCTTTTTCACGAAAACTAGATAAAAATCCAAAATTAAGTGCTCACTTACAATTACGACCATATCGAAAACTCATTTCTTCAAAACTTAAAATCCCATCTTCTAACAATAACATCAACATCCAATTCATACATAAACTATGCCGAGACAAGGGCAGACGTCAAAATACATTTGTTTCTGGCAAATTGTTCTATCCAGCCTTTCACATTCTATCTTCTCTCTTCCGAGGCGCACATGTGATGATCTCATCAACTCTAAGAATCATCTCTGCAGCCTCTGTTGCAGACAGCAAGACGGCCTGCTTGACTTTAAATGATTCAGATATGCCTCGTTCTGCCATGTCTCCTACCTGCCAGAATGTCAAAAATTGCCAGGCATCAATTAACGATGACAATCCAGAAAAACGGATTGAAGAGGTTTCCAGGCATCATATACACCTAAAATGTCCTATTTCAGTTTTTTTTTTCATTTTCTTTATTTGGGTACTTACAGCTCCAGAGATGACATCAATCCCAGCAGTGCATCCTTCTTTATGGTGCTCTGCACGTAGCTTTGCAATCAACTCAGCACTGTCCAAACCAGCATTGTCAGCAATGATAGTAGGAATGGCTGAGAGTGCCCTTGAGAAAGCTTCAATAGCGTGAGATTTCTTTCCAGGAGTCTTCCTGGCTAGCTCATCAACTTCCTTTGCCATAATCATCTCAGGCCATCCACCTCCGAGTAAAACCCTGCTGTCATTGACTGTCTGAGACAGCACACACAAGGCATCATGCAGAGACCTCTCAGCCTCGTCAAGCACGTGATGGCTGCCAAAGAAATACAAACATGTCATACAAGTCACAAAACTGTCAGACAAGAATCACATACTAATAGCAGAACTGTCTGCCATTACAAGTCACAAAACTAATGCATGCAAACAAAATTTTGGGATTCCAAAGAGCAAGGATGCAGATAAAATCAATCAATAGAATTCAATTAATGAGGTCTTAATTGCCTCATGAACAAAAAGTTAAACTATGGCTGCATGCAAGATAAGCATTGAGAAATACTGTACGCCATTTCATGTTTTGAAACACACAAACCAAGTTAAAAATGCCGAACTGAATTGGCAGGGAACAAATGTAAAAAAATACCTTGCGCCCCTCAACACTATTGTGCATGCCTGACCCAGTTCAACACCAGAAAAGTGGATCAACTTGTCCTCACCGATCATAATTTCCTCAATGAGTTTGCAGTGCCCAAGCTTAACTGACTCTGGATTATCAAAAGTTGATGCAATTTCACCACCAGTTACCAAGGCCAAACGCTCAATCCCATCAAAATCAGCATGCTCAATTGCAAGTATTCCTGCATCTGCAAAGAGCTCCTCTGGGAAATTGTAGATCAACTGTCTGTTGACAAAACAGTTAATCCCGTGAGCTATTATCTTTTGCACTTTTTCTCTCATTTTTTCTTTCTCAGCCCCTTCAATTTCAGCAACCTTAGACATTGAGTCAACACGAACACGTGCCCCGTATATCTTTACTTTGTCTGTGTCCATTGCTGTATTTGCAACCAAAATCTTTGCATTCTCTATGCGCTTGGGCTGACCAAGACCTATTTTCTTGTCAAGAATAAATCTGAACAAGAAAAACAGAAGTAACGAAGAAGACATGCATGAGAAAATAAGGACCAGCATATGTCTCCAAACAATGAACAAAAAGAAATTTACAGATCATTTCATCTGTGCAGATAAATTGATAACAAAAGACACAAAGATCTAGAAGACTATATTATAGAATTCCCAAAAATTTTGAATTCATAAGAAGGTCAAATATCCATTGCTCTTCTTACCCTTCATCTAAGAAAGAATCTTTTAGTGATCCCCCGGGCTTCTTTATAATTTGGATCGCCTCTAAGTTGGTGCTCCCCTGCCATTGCAAACAGCCTTGTGAAACAACATGAAGATAAGAGAAAAGTAATTGTTTGCAGCATGAAGATTGAACCTTAACTACCAAATGTTAAGTCATAATCACCTTTAGCCGCATTACAGCATCCACTGCTAGCTGTGCGAAGTGTTCCTTATCCTGAGAAAGAATTTTGGAGCTCAAAGTGGTCATTGCAATCTTCATTAGGTCTGACTTAAATTTCTCTGCACAATCCAGTGATGTCTTCAATTATTACAATAGCTCAAGGAAAATATAATGGAAGCATAACCAAGCAATTTCAGTGAGCAGTATACATCGAGATCAAACACATCGAATTCATTAACTAAACATCATGTGCCTGAATAACTCATATCAGCAGTTACGAAAATAAAGTTGATCCATGAAGAGATATAATTGGTGAATGGTACAGAAGAAAAAGAGAAATCACTGAAGCCAAAATGACGGCACTTAAATTCAAAATAATAAGCTGCAGTGAATACCAGAATCAGCCTTATTATCCACAACCTTCTGCAACAAAGCATTGCGAGCACATTCAGCTGCCATTCGATAACCTGACAATCAAACATACAGCATTTTTCACGTGCATCACATAAGTAGTGTAAAGCTAAGATATGACCCTATTAACAAGTTCAGACACTGAAATGAAAATAAAGCTAAGGGGAAGTGTATAGGTTTTGGTCAACAGAAAACACAGAATCATATTTATACTGTGTGTGTGTGAAAGAGAGAGGGGGAGAGAGAGATGTTCATGCAGAAACCTAGGACAAACCTGATATGATTGTCATTGGGTGAATCTTTGATGCAACGAGCTTTTCTGCCTCCCTTAAGAGTTCCCCCGCCAAAACAACAACAGAAGTTGTCCCATCACCAACCTCGTCGTCTTGAACTTTTGAAATATCTGACTCTTGTATTAAAGATCATTACAAAATGCGATATGAAATCTATTTCCACCAGTCATGATTAATTTCAATAACTAGGTAGTTCAGACACAGATAACTTGCAAACAAAGGCTTTGCCCAAGTCCATAAATGTAAAACGATAACTCAACGGGACGAAGATTTCCACAACCTGTTATGATCACCATGAATATTCACTAATGCAAAATGCAATTATTAGGATACCGACAAGGACTTTAGCAGCTGCATTATCAATATGCAGAGACTTTAAGATGGTGGCGCCATCATTTGTGACAGTGACCGAATGTCCTCTTCCTGTTGATTGGAGAATTTTATCCTGTCCAAATATATTAGCAAGAAAGTAACTAACACAAGTAGGAAAATGAAAATTAATGGTATCAGCACATGCGTCTATTAGTTGGAAACACATGTAAGTAGAAACTCACCATTCCCTTTGGCCCTAAGGTTGTCTTGACCAAGTCAGCAATTGCCATTGCACCCACAAATGACGCCTAAAACAATACAGATTATAGATAAGTTCAAAGAGGGATTAGTCAACTTCTATCCATAGTCATTTGAAATTCAAATCAACAAAACGAGATTGAATGTGCTTAACGTACACTGCCTATACTTAAAATTGAGCAATATTCAACTTAGTTGGGACAGTAGCAAATCTCAGAAGGGCTTGGGAACACTTTTTTTTTTTTTTTGGAAAAGGGGAACACAAGTAATTAAATGCCAAACAGAAGATTCACTCCAATATTTGATTTGTACACACAAAATAAAACAAAAGGAGATCTTGTATGATGGCCACTCGTATGTTTAAGGTGTAATGCTTCATTCTTCCCAAAGGAATTTGAAAGGTCAAAAGAATGTAAAGAAATAATGAGTAATACTTTCTCAAACCCGAGGGATCGAGAAAGTGTGAATAAAAGTTATGCTTCCAGTCAATAATTTTATCCCATCCCGATTATTATTTAACAAACATTGCCTTGCAGTGAAGTAAAATCTTGCAATCTAAGCATGTACATATATTTTAAAGAATAAACTGTCAGTCACTCTCAGAAAAGCAACATTTCGTTTACTCTCCTGTGTGTCTGTTCTGGAATGTCCCTTGAACAAAGACATAAAAGGGGGGAAAATAACTGCAAGTGTTACAAGCAATTGTGTGCACTTAAATTAATACCGCAGAATGCAGAAAACTCACCAGTCTAGCCCGCTCTCCTTTCTCCTCACTAGCTTCATCTTTGAAAATTCTCTCGACCTATATTCACCAATCAAAGTCTAATAAAAAGAATTCTGAAAATAAAACGTCAAAAAACAACACCCTGTATTGAATATTTATTAAACATTCACATACCGCCATGGAATAGATATCAGATGACTTTAGCTGAAACCTGCAAGATCGCACAAATATAAAGTAAACAAAATGGAAAGAAAAAAAATGCGTTTAGCCAATCACAGAAGTCATGAACCAATTATAATGGCATAACCCTAAATCATATAACAACGAAGCAACATTTCGGCCATTTTCGCGTTACTTTTCACTTCTTCTCCAGAGAACCAGAAAGAGAGAATAGAGGAAAGCTGAAGTAAAGAAAAACTAAAGTAAAACCCTAAACCTCAAAATCTTAGGAACCCTAGATCATAAGCAAGCAACTACCTGATCTTAGAGAGAAAGCAAAGACAGAGAGGGCGAATGGAAAATCGGAGGCTCTGGATCCCGCCCAAAAAACTGGTTTCGGCGTCGCAAAGAGGGTTTTCACTCTTTCTAAGTTGAAACTTGAAACAGCACTAGCG